TAGGTAAGCAATAGATACCAAAACTTCCAGGAAAAAGCAAGAAGGTTTTATCCTCAAAAGTTTTCCATGTTTTATATTTATCATGCAAATATATAATAATACATTTATTAAAAATGATTCAAGAAAGGTTATATTTTGAGACACACTACTGCAAAGTAAGATCCCGTTTTAATATGAAGCCATCACATGCTTAAAGGCTTTTCTCTTATTACGACTCTAACTTAACTTCCCCCCCACCCACAGCTCTTACATTTATATATGATTAGCAGAACTGCACAGATTAGGTCCATTCTATTTTACATTGCCTATATTTCAGTTATTTATTAATACTTTGCATGTTTTAGTAGTTTTCATAACTATTAATCAAATGAGTGTATAATGTTCTACATATTGATGCTTAATAATTTTAATTTCCTGAAGTTGGGCTCCTAGGTGGCTAGCAACATTCTTTTATTACAGATGACTATGCAGTCTTATAGCATGTATCTTTTTGCTTCAGTTGAATTACTTCTTTGGGAAAAATCCATAAGACAGAAGAATTTTTTTAAAAGAGTAAGTTAAAATTCCCTGATGGCAAGGACCATATCTCACATATCTTTCTATTTTCTGTGGGCCTTAGCACAATGCTGAAAGTATTATAGGAATTTATTAAATAAGTGATGATTTAGACTTAAATATTCTCTATAGAAAACTTTGGTCCATGACATAATGGCTGACTCATGATGAAAGATCTAGTTTCATTTAGTTCCCTTGAATTGAAGAGTAAGTACCTATTGATGGTGTTTGCTTATCCCTGCCTTTGTAGGTTTCAGAGTGGAGAGAGAGGCAGTTATAGGTGGCGTGAGGTAGCCCAGGATGAAGGGACCTAGAACCACAGCAGCAGTATTCAACTTATTCAATATCACTGCTTTTACATGCGTTTCTGATCTCATAATTCAGGGATTACACGTCACACTATTTAGTTAATCCATAAATAACATACAAACTGTCTACCTAAACTTTGAAGGAAGAATTTATTTAATCAGATAAAAAAGAAAACATTGCCCTCTCTACAGTTAGGCTGGATAGTAAACTTGAACACGAGTTAAATTAATAAAAGAATTTTGAATTCTTTTTAAAATTTTAAGGTATAATTTTACTCAAAATGCTACAAAATATCAAATGCATAGAACCATGCCATATATTTTGTGACTATTTTATGCTTGTGGGCAATATTTCAGGGTTCCAAACAATCGGACTCTCCACAGTGTTAAACTGGGAGAATGAATTATTTTTCCTCAGCCTTTTATTTTCAGTAAGTCTTCAAGTTTTTTTAATTGATATGATTATTTAATTCTCATAATAAGGATGATAAATAGCAGAAAGTAGGAAGGAATGAAAATTTTAAAATTGTAGATGTGTTTGAACATTTGGAGGGATAGACACAGAGTAGGAATAATACTGCTTAAAAATCTCCCATAATTCTGAGTACCTAGCACATTGTTCCGATAGCCAGAGTGATAGATCACTGAACCTCAAGGAAAGGCTATTGTTGTGAGAAAATAATATAGGGACAGGAATGGATTTCTTATCACATGCTAACTACAGTTCATTGGCAATGGTTGTCAAAATATGGTCTTAAAAAGGATGCCATGGCAGCATCTGGGCTCAGTGGGAAAGAGTGTTGTGATGATTAGTAATGTTACCATAACAAGGAAAAGAAGGAAAGCATATATTTGCCAACACTGGAAAAATTCAATCTACAAAATGCCTGAGGATGTAAATCTGGAGCTGTGTTGCTGCCATATTTTCCTCATTTCTCTATTTTGTTGTAGTTACTACATTCTTTTTTTTTTTTTTTCAAGTAATGTTCTTCAAGTGGCTGAACATTGTAGGAGGATGTTGAGGGGATATATTGACTAGTTTGCTACTTATTCCCATGAATGAGGGCATATACTCTACATCCTTGTATTTGCTTAGTAGAACATAAAATAACAGGCTGTGCTCCACTACAAATTCTTCTTGGGATTTTAATATACCCCATCTATGAAGTCCGATTAGTCCAGAGAAAATCTATGTGGGAATGTAAAAAAAAAAAGTACTTTCCCTATAATCATATTTCTGAAACAGTGCCATATTGGGAAGAATCTTTCTATTTTGCATAATTGTATATTGTGTGGTGGAAAGAACGAGAGCTTTCCAGTGGGTGGACCTTGTTAAAATGCCCGATCCACTAATTACTTGCTTTACTCTTTGAGTCTCTCTTTCCTTATCTGAGGGATGGGGATAATAATAGTGTGGATTAAATGACCTTATAGATAAAAGTGCCTAGTACAATAACTGAAACACAGTAGGTTTTCAACAAATGGCAGTGATAGTTATTATTGATGATATACATATATTGGAATTTTTATCAGTATTAGTATTGGTATTAACAACAGTATTATATTAGAATATTTAATATTCTGTCTTCCTTCTATAAAGTTTTGCTAATCAATCAATTACAACACTGATTTTGGCTAGTCATTCATTTCTCTCTCATGGAAAATATCATTAGAAGTTCTAGTTATGGAAATTAAAACAAGTTGTTTATGACCTGGTATAAACAGCTAGGCAAGTGCTGATTATGCACAGCCTAGACAGCACTGAGCAAGATCTTCTCAAAAGGAATGGAAAAATTCATATCCAATTGTTGAAAGTTATTGCCCTCAGAAGGCAGCATTATAGGTGCTTTCTGAATTGGATGGAGGAGGTAGTACCATTTAGTCTTATAAAGTTTACTTGTGGTTGTCTAAAGCAGAGGTTCTTAATTATGATACTGGTTTGAACTTTTCCCTGCCTTCATGAATCACACATTACTGGTAGCCAAGTACTTGAAAGTTCAACATTAAATTTATGTGTACTAAGGAAAGTGGTGGTTCCAGTTCCTAAAAGCTAAAATATTTTAAGATCCCTAACTATGGCCCATTGGGTAGTGAGAATATTCCTAAGTGTCTTGGCCTGCGCAAAGCACAGTTTCTGAAGCAAGTGACTGTCATGGACTGGTCCATCTGGTCAACTGCTGCCCATCCCTGGATGCCACTTTTTTAGCTGATGTCATCAAAGAGCCCATAATCCGTAAAAAAATTTTTGTGAGTGCTGGGGATCTACAGCAGGGACTGGAGAAAAGTTATTTTCCCATTACATGGTTGCACTGTCCAAAAAGGCATTGGCCAACTGACTTCAACCTAGTTCTGCAGTGTATGGAGGAATCAGGGGCAAGAGTTGAAGAGGTTGGCGAATAAATGTGGCTGGGGAGGGTCGGGCTGGGTGAAGGAACACTCATACAGTCGTCAATCTACTTTATGCTATTAAACCACTGCAGCTCAGATGTAAACCTGGACTCCATGGGAATATGCTTGATTTGGGGTTGAGAGTAGTGACCGCATTTATCACGAGGGTCAGGGGAAAGGGAGTGAGAGGCGTTTCAAAGGTCATGGCTAGGCCCTGCTCCTGATACCATTCTCCACATAGACTTGGTCTCAAAGTGGGCCTTTTCCCCCAGGGGCTGTGCACCATGTGACAGCTACAAATACTTTAAAGAGGAGGTTATAAGGCAACACTGTAGAATGTAGTTTGAAATTCTCATTTATGAAAGGGTGACTACCTATATTAATAAGGTACTCTTGCAAATTTTTTAAAAATCAGAGTTAAAATTATACTTATAATACTGCTACGTTCACTTATACGTCCACATACTTTCTTGAGTAGGAGAGAAGGTAAGAAGTGCACAGAGCTCTGAATATCCCCATGGGAGTGTGCCAGGCACAAGAGTATCAGCATTATTCGGAACAGCTGCTCCAGTGCTTTCTCTGACCAACTTTTTTTTTTTTTTTTTTCTATTGGGTGTTCTGTCTTTTGAGAGGAGAAATTGTAGATACAAGATTTATGAAATTTCCAATATGCTAGTATAAAATTATTGAGCTGTGGGTTTCACAGCTTTCCTCATTCCCCCTTGGTTGCCTTAATTTCTTCCCCTTTTACTATTCTGTCAAGAGAAAGGATAAAAGCTTCTCAGGTGAATTGTTGAGAAAAAAGCAATTAGAGTGGAATAAAAACCATGGGGACCTAGTGGATGGGAGAGTCATGCCAGTATAGAAGTGTGAGAGAATCCTGGGAGGCTGGGGATACTCGAGAGTCTAATGAGTACAGGTGAGTTTAATCAGAGTTGCTGTGGATTTTACCCTTAAACTCCTTTACCTGTTTGAGAGAGAAATGGGTGGAGAGATTGAAATTCTACTCTATCATGTTTCCTTAATCCAACATCACACTAAGACAGATTACTGGGCTTTGGGACACGGGGGATGGACAGTGCCACAGTTTTATAAGCATAAAACAAACCACACATTCTTCAGCTAACATCGCTATCCTTCACACCATGTCTCTTCCCCTTAAACAGCCTCAGCTCTCTGGGATCAGGGACAGGGTGGGTGGATGGCATTGGAGGTGTAGGGGTTGACAGGGGTAACCCACTCAGGCTGCTGTGAAAATAAGAATGGTGATAACAGTTCAGTCATGGTACCCGTGGAACTCTGTTTCCCTTTGTTTCTCCAAGAAAAGCATATTAAAGGCAGAAAATACTAGCACATAGATCTTTGTCAGAAACAAGGATAGCAAATCAGTCACAGAAACTTCCATTTGGTCTCCCAGATATTAGACTTCAGAGTCGAATCAAACTGCCCACTTTATATCAAGTACACAACTCTTGCCCGTGTGGGGCGGTGCCATCACCAACTTGCCATTTGCTGGCCTGTCCACAGCATGACTGCACATCCCATTAAACCACACACTTCTGGCCCCGTGACACAAGCCCTCATGTTGACTTTACCTCCGGATCATTTTGACTTTACCTCCGGATCATTTTGACTTTTTGGCATTTTCTCATCTTAGAGTCTTCATCAGTATTTTCCAACTATTCATAATCTTGAAAAAGCAGGGAAGAAATTGTTTTATCTGCTTTTCTTCAAAAAGAAGGCTCTTACCTGCCTGCTTCTACAGCCATAGAACAGTTCGAGAGCTCTGTTGATGGGCACTGGCTGTGGGGTCCGTTAACCCTATACCACAATGAGAGGCTCAGATTAAATGAGTTCAGTTTATAGATAACCAAAGTTCTTTTCCACTAACGCACACTCACTGCATTAGCTCTTTCTCTTCAATGTCAATGCATGCCCATCTCTTCAATAAAACATAAAAACAAAAACCAAGAAACATTTTCTCTAACTACTTCTCTTTCCCTTCAAAGACAGGCTTCTTAGTACTTTATACTGCTTTTCTCTGACCTCATATTTACTGCTGCTCCGTTGCAATCTGTCTTACACACTTTTATTCAAATGCTCTTGCTAAGGCTGCCCATAAATACCTGACCACTTTGCTGCTAAATTCAATGGACCCACTTCACTTTTTATCTGGCTGAAGCTTTGTGAAACTTGGACATTACACTCCTTGAAACTCTCCCCATTTTTGGCTTCTATGACACTGCTCTTTCCCAACTTCTGTTATTACCGGTCTGGCTCTTCTTTCTTGGTCTCCTTTGGGTACTCTCCTTCAGCTCATTTCTTAAATCTTGGTGTTCCAGAGAACACCCTTCCCTCTTTCCCTCTGTTAATTTTCATACCTTATAGTCTCCATGGGCCATCTCAACTATGTGTGAATCTTCAGCTATAGTCTCTATGTTGATGATCTTCAAATCTTCAGCCCAGATCTTTCCACCTGAGGTTCAACCTACAAATACAACTGCCTATTGTACATCTCCACCTACCTACCCCACAGTTATCTTCAATTCAGCTTACTTGAAATGGTCTCATTTCTATTCCAAAACCCTATCCTTCTTCTCTCTTAGTGGTAATATTATCAGCCAGGTTGTCTAAGAAAGTAACTTGACAGAATCCTTGACTCTTTTCTCTCCTCCCCGCTCCATATTCAATGACCAAGACACATTGTTCTCCTTGCCTGAGAACAAATCCATCCTCTTACCTCCTGACCCCAAACTTATTCCCATTTCATGAGTTAGGCCCTAATCTTTTCTAGCTTGGGTTTCTGTAAACATACAACTGTCTGTTTCTAGTCTTGTTCCTTGTTTTGCACTCAGTCTAAATCAGCTCTAGAGCTATCTTTTAGAAATGCAAATATGATCCTGCCATTCTCTTGCTTAAAATCCTTCATTGGGTGCCCTTTAATGTAAAATCCTAAGTCGTTCCCCCCCCCCGCTGGCCCCCGCCGCCCTTTACTGCTTCCTCTGTTGGACTACTTTAGGGAAGATGGGCTAGAATAATAGTTTAATCTCTAGCTATTTCATGCTTGGCTTCACTTTACAGAGGCTGCCAATTAGTGATTTAGAGGTGAACTCTTATGTGCTCTGCAGTGAACTGAGGGCCTGCTTAAGTAGTCCTTGAAGAGCCTTTGGCCTTATTGTCACAAAAAACCTGCACTGACTTGAACCTGTGATCTAAAGTTGAACATCTGTATATTCTGTTGGCCATCCCCTGAGTTAGGAAAGTGAGCTTTGGAAATGCTTTGGTTATTTCTAAATCCAATTTGGCCTAAATACATATATTCTCAATTCAATACTATTTTAAATGTAATTTTTTCAGAAATAGGTAATAGTGTTTTTTTTTTCCTTCTACTCTCCTCTTCTTATAATTGCTTTTTATAGAGAGGTGAGTAGATCTTCTCAACTCTACTGACTTTTATAAAATGGTATATGAGTGCCTTCATTTTCTTGTCTTGTCATCTGTCTTTTTCTGGTTTTAGAAATGGAAAGTAACAACAGCTGGGTATGATCATATCAGCAGGAAACATCCTCACTCCTGGCTGATTCACAAATTGCCCCTGTCTTGCTTGCCATTTCAAATAGAGGGACAGAACATAGAATGGACAAGAAAATTAAAAAAGCTACAGATACACACAAATCCTACTTACAGAGGTAAGGCAGGATCAGTAAATAAAGAAAGGATATACAAATACCAAAGACCCCCACAAGAAAAAAAATATAACGAAAGTAACTCAGAAAAATTAGATACGGAGAGAACAAAAGGAGAATCTGTTTTCTTAAGACAAAAAACCCATTTAAAAATGTTCATTGTTTTTTTCACAGCTGATAAATAAAACATGGTTTGTATAAAATATTCTAAAAGGTCAACAACTAGACAGTTATGATGGTAAACTTTCTCCTCTCTGTTTGTCTTGTCTATAGCCTGAAAGAAATAACCGTCGAGGAGAAGAAAATCAACAGTATGCATCTTACACAAGGATGTCCTCCACCAGGGTGTGAAGGGCACTGGGATTGCGGATCAGTTTGTCAAGGAAGCTGACAATGTCAGTAAATTTTGGTCTGTGATTTCTCTCCTTCTGCCAACAATGAAGCATCAGCTGGTGTAGAGATGCTGGACAGCCCATGGGAGCCGGAAGTCTGTAACCTTCTTCAATGGACAGAATGACCTAAATGCAAACACACACAGGTTAGTTTCTTACTTTTTGGGACAAATAACACAACATATGCTAAGTTATAATTCCTTTTTTATTTTAAAGATTTTATTTATTTGAGAGAGAGAGAGAGACACAGCGAGAGAGGGAACAGAAGCAGGGGGAGTGGGAGAGAGAGAAGCAGGCTTCTTGCTGACCAGGGAGCCCAACATGGGGCTCGATCCCAGGACCCTGGGATCATGACCTGAGCTGAAGGCAGACGCTTAATGGCTGAGCCACCCAGGCACCCCAATAATTCCTTTTTATACAGGAAGTAGAAGCTAAAATATTGGTAAGCGTGAAAACTTGTGGGTACAAGCAGCCCAAACAAAGATAAATACAAAAGTTGCAAGTATCTACATTAATATCTGCTGACACCTCTTTGAGGGAAATACATTTTTAAACATGTGGTATTCAGAAGGGAGGTTAAGTTTCATCACGATTTCGAGAAATAGTTCCTGTGTGATTTAGCTGGAACGTTTCAAAACCCAATTAGGACTTCAGAAAGTCAGCATAAGATTGATACGTTTTGTGCAAGCCACATGTGACAAATGTGTTAAGTAAAATTGTACCTCTGTTGAAGCACTGAACTCCTGAGTCATTTTTTATCCTTTTGTAATAATGTCAGTACGTATTCTTTTGCTGGCTATCATTCCTTCTTCCTTCTTTATTGCCTATTTAATTTGTCTTTGCTTACTTCTGCCTTTCCCTTAGTCTGACCCCGATGTGATTATGAAGTCCTCTCAGAACTTCTAAGGTCATTCAATCCTTCAAATGTTATCAGTGGCTGGCCTAAGAACATAGCGCAACAGGATCGTTCAAGCCTGCATATCCTCGGGGCCAGCGTTCTCCAATAGAACTTTTTGTTCTCTCTGTCCAACATGATAGCAAGTAGTCACATGTGGCTGTTGAGTGCTTGAAATGTGGCTAATAAGACTGAGGAACTGAATTTTGTGTTTTAGTTCATTTTAATTCATTAAAATTTAAATAGCCACGTGTTGCTGTTGGTTACTATATAGGACAGAGAGGCTCTAGGGAAAGGAATCTCTATAAGAAGCTGAGCTAAGGGTAACAATATGATGACAACAAGGTGTTTTTTTTTTGAACTCAGGAAATCATATATAGGATAAGGCAGGAAAGTCATCTATTTCATCTACGGCCCACCTGGGAATCTCCTAATAATGCAATATAGTATACTGCAATAATGCAATAATGCAACTCTGAATTTATATAGCTTATTTTTTATGATGTGTTCAAAGTATTCATGTGGTCCTTTATCTTTTTTAAAATATTTTATTTATTTATTTTATAGAGAGAAAGAGCATGAGTGGGGAGAGAAGCAGAGGGAAAGGAGAGATAATCTGGAGAAGACTCTGCGCTGAGTGTGGAGCCCAACATGGGGCTCGATCTCACGACCTCGAGATCACGACCTGACACCAAGAGTCAGCTGCTTAACCAACTGAGCCACCCAGGTGCCCCATCATGTGACCCTTTATTCTTATATCATCTCTGGGAGAAAGAAAAAGGAAAGGCTCCATTCCCCATTTTTGAGGTGGGCAGTTGAGGAACAGACTAATAGTTAAAGACAGGCACAACTCAACCTCATCACTGTCCTCCATCAACAACAGAAATACAAAAATACAAGTGCTAAGATTGCTAACCGGAGATCTCTCTTTATTGTTGCATCAGCTACACACTTTCTGTAATTCGCAAAACACATCTTAATTTCTTTTTTAATTGACACTATTTGACAGGACTCTGAAATATCCATAATTCATGCTAGAGGCAGTTTGCAAAAAGGAGCAATAATATGCCTACAAGAACCTCTTAACTGCTAAGCTTTAGCTTTCTGGTAATAGGGAACTTCTCATAATCCCATCAGTGTCTTTGTGACCAGAACATTTAACCTGTCAGGATATTAGCATTTTTGTATTCATTTTATCCCATTATTGAACAGGATTTTTTCTTTTTTTTTTAAAGATTTTATTTATTTATTCATGAGAGACAGAGAGAGAGAGAGGCAGAGGGAGAAGCAGGCTCCCAAGGAGCAGAGAGCCCGATGC